TGAACATATGTTATCATATTTTAAAATAGGTCCTTGTGTGTGTTCAAGTCCTTGCGTGACCTCGAACGCCCAATCGGCATTTTCGTCGGACCTACTTACACCAGGTGAGTTCATACCCTTGAATGAACCTTTTAAATACTTTTAAATGTTTTATAGGGGGGAATACAAGTTAAACATGCCAGTTATCATGTCAATCGCATATGATTGATAACCCGCATGCACAAGATTTTACCACTTTTACACTGTTTTACCGAGTGGGACACTAAAATGACTTTTACCTGTTTCATAACTTTTACTTATACTGATTTATTCAAATTCATCCTAAATTGGTTTATGAAAGATCCTCTAAGGTTTTAAACGTATTTTACAAAGGATTACAATTTGTGATTTTCTCTGTACAAAAAGGCTTTTCATTAAAGATTTCCCTTTTTGACGTATACTTTTACTTTTTAAACACTGCTGTATCGCTTATACTTATTTTTATACTCTGACTCGGTAACACTTTCACTTATACCTATAGTCGATTATACATGATGACGCTTATACTTATTCACGCTCTTACTTAGTGATATCGATTCTACTTCACTTATACTTGATATTGACTCTACTTCACTTATACTGGATATCTACTCTACTTCACTTATACTTAATACGCTCTCGCTTTACTTATTGTCGCCTCCACTTCGTGATACGCTTATACTTGTTCGACACTTCTACATCACTTGCGACCGCTCCTACTTCACTCGTCAGACACTCCTACTTCACAAGAATCCCTTATCCTTGATACACTTATACTTTACGATTTTGTTATTCCACACTGTATGAATTCACACCATGATGATATGTCTTCAACTATTACACACTTAGTCGTAGTTAGATGTACGTCTGTGCTTATATAGATACATATAAGTAACGATTGAAAGACTTAGGAAGGCTCATCCGCCCTATTTCCTTTTCTTCGTTGAGATGTGGTCTGGTGGGATCGGGTGGCCATCCGAAAGTCGTTTGGTTCATTACTTATTTACTGTGTATATGAGTATGGACATACAGGAAATTCTCCAGTCAGTCTGTTAAGAGTCTCTACCTCTAGTGTACACTTACATTAGAAACCCACTCCCTCTTAGTAACACACTATCCTCTATTTGGGATGCATCTTCGGGACGCGGCCTTCTCCGTCGTCTAGTTGGTAACTAGAGTCTCCTGTAGGGAGAGCGGACATTGTGTGTATAGGCCTATACGGGATTGACAACCCCGCACCCTGACTGCTAGCTACAGTCCACGGCCTACCAAGCCAAGGGGTGACAGATGTCACATTATATAGATGCTTGTAGGGCGTCTAGTACTCTAGTCAGTATGGTTACGAGTATCCTGAGTTGCCTTATAATTCATGGCTTTAAGGTAACAGTATTTCATCAGCGATTTACACTGTATGCTGATGTCACCTTTTTCAGAGTCACACTGTTTTGACCTTGCCAGATGTATCTTTCATTTGATACCGTCTGGGGTCTGTTATCTCTGTTTGACCTTACAAGATGTATCTTTCGTTTGATATCGTCTGGGGTCTGTTATCTCTGTTTGACCTTTCAAGATGTACCTTTCATTTGGTATCATCTGTGGTCTGTCTTCACTGTTTTGACCTTGCGAGATGTACCTTTCATTTGGTATCGTCTGCGGTCTGTCTTCATTGTTATGACCTTGCAAGATGTACCTTCCATTTGGTATCATCTTCGGTCTACGTTCACTGTTTTAGACCTTACCAATTGTACCTTTCATTTGGTACCTTCTGGGGTCTGTTTCTCCATTTGTTAGACTGAACCAGGCGTGTCGTTAGTTCGATTCTTTCCTGGAGTCTATGACTCTTTTGCCTTAGTCAGCGGTCCTCACTGCTGAGGCATATGATATTCCCTGATGTCGTCGCTTTCCTCAATAATCAAATTCAGTATTTTGATAATGATAGCAATTTAGGGAAAACTACTTTTCACCCTGCATCACTGACCAGTCTTGGTAGGAGGCTGCTTTTATTAAAGAACATATAGGATTTTCTGTAAAGGACTCTAATACACTGAAATCTCTTAAACTACTACTTTCTTAAGTTATTTGAATGAAATGTCACTAAATGCTTATGAACTCACCAACATTTGTAAAAATGCTGATACTCGCTTTTCAAATAACTTGTATTCTCAGGTTAGCATTAGACAGGTACATCCCCGGAGCTGTTGATGAAGATAGCTTTGTACTATGCTGTAATTATTCTATTACTTGTATTACTTTAAAGTGTTGTAATGTAACCTTGTAAAACTATTACTATTAATGCAATGTTTTGTTGTACTTTGATTACTATAATGCATGTGTTGTGATACTTGACATGACGCCATCCACCCCAGAACGTTTCCGCCGTTCCGGTTTTGGGGTGTGACAAATACGAATTTGAATACATTGGACGCAAGCATCATAATCGTATCCTAGAAAATATACCACATGGTACAAAACAAATAAAATAAGCAAGGAAAAGAAAGGAAGTGCGACCGCTTGCAGACCGGGTAATAGGTGAAGGACCAGTCTAAGGAATGGGCTTTACTAACCACAAACAACCTATAATTACCCGCAGATACACAATAACCAGGGAGGTAATTAAGGAGAACACATATGCCTTAAGACAAAAGCAACACCAAAAATTTGCAGTCTAACTTAGGCATTGGAGAGCTATGCCAGGGTGCAACCCTCAGTATGGACGGGAACTAGTTCTTGTTATTCTTACACATAGTGAATTACCGGACGCCTATTGGATGAGACCCATTGGGGTGAAAGCGCTAAGCATGTGCCTGAAATTTGACGTAACAACAACGATTTTAATTGTTTGATAAAAAGTATTATTATTATTATTATATCTTAAATGTCTAACCCGAATTTGCGGGTGTCACACCTAGGTTGTCTAGACTAACTCCAATCCAAAACAACCCCCCCCCCCCTACTCAAGATACAATCATTAACCTTGCAATTCTTATTTGACTCAGTTTTGTACAACTCCGAATAAATATGTTTAAGATCCAATGCACTACACCATTTATCTTTCCAGAAAAATTGTATATTTACCGTCCCCCAAATGTCTCATAAAAATATTATCAACAAAGATTCCCCACTCCTCAAGCTCTGAGTGTATTTGGTAGATAGAAATCAAGTACCTGGAATGATAGATTCCGCGAAAGGTTTCCTGTAAACTACCGTAATATTGTGCAAGATTTTATTTCATCGGGACCAAAAGTTCTCTTTCTCAATTTTTGACCCCAACCACCATTTTAAAAGGAATGCAAGATTAAGTAATTAAAAAAAACCGACTCAACCCACCTTTGTCTCAGCCCACCTTTATCCTTAGGGCTTGTCACGATATTCCAAGCAATCTAATGGATCTTTCTATTGTAAATTGAACCACCTCAAAGAAAGTTTCTTGTAATGTTTTCCAACAACTCAATCACTTTTTAGGGGATTTGAAAAACACAAAGTAATAAAGAGGAAGTCCCCTCAAGACAGAGTTGATTAGAGCAAACCTCCCACAAAATGCGAGGTTTTAGCCTTTCAAGAAGAGAGCCTAGACTTGAATTTATCAACAATGATTATCTAATTCCGGGTTAGCTTCATGTTCATTCCAATGGGTAAACCAAGATAAGCGAATAGAAAGGACGTGGGCTCACAATTTAAAATACTAGCAAATCTAGCTATATTCGTATTATCGACACCTACTCCCAAAACCGTGCTTTTGCAAAGGTTGGCTTTGAGACCGGAAGCAATAAAAAAGCATCTAAAAAGCCTATTAAGGTTGATAAAATTAACTTCAGTCAATTCTTCATACAAATAACGCCGTCCGCATACATGAGATAAATAAGAGCACGTACTTAGTGGGTGTCCTTTGTAACAAAAAGGTTTCAAACTTTCGGTACAAAATAAGAACTCATCAAGGGGGTGTTTGATTTAGTTTTTCACAGCCCCAAAAATCATTTTTGGAAAAGAAAAAAAAAATAAAAGATGTTTGGCAAAACTAGTTTTAAAAGTTACTTTTAAAGTTTTTATACAAGGAAAATGAATTTTTTAGAAAAATCAGAAAATTTTTTGTAAATTTTCCAAAAAAGATTTTTAAACTGTGAAAAACTAAATCAATCACCTAAAAAATAACTACTTTTTTACCAAATTACCCCAAAAATATACATGTGGATGGCTAGGGAGCACATATGACTTTCTAGAACTATGACGCTTCGTGACGTCCCCTCTTTGATTGGTCAAAAGCTAAATTAATGAAAATAACTAATTGTTCACATTTTCATTAGGATTTTTGTGTTTCTTTCATCAGTCGATGATATTGTGTGGTGATTTACTGATAAATAACGCACACAATATGTTACACATCACAGAAGACAAATATGTAAAATTTAAAATTTAATGAACTAAACGACCATGTATTAATAGTTTCAATCTTCGGCGGCCATCGATTCAAATAAAAAAAAAAAAAAAAAACATCCTCGTTACTTTATTTTGTTACTCGGTTAATAATCTCAGTATATAAAATACTTAAAACGGATTACTAAAATAACAAAAACATCTCTGAACACTTATGTGCCTCTATTATTTCAAAAGTGCATTAAATAAATATTCAAGCAGCGTTAATCAAATAACGCTTTTTAATGTAAATATAACGATTAATGAATAGTATTTTATGCCTTTTAAAAATGATCAAATACTTTATTTATTACGAAACATATATTTAAGTTTTTATTAATTGTCTTTGAAATTTTTGCGGAACACTCTTCATTTGTTTATTACGGTTTATTAATCGAAGAAATCGACTTTGTTGACTTCAGAGAATAGTCAATAAAAATTGGTCAAACAAACAATCAAACACGACGACAAAACATGTATAAATACTCTTCAAAACCATTCCTCCCAACACAACAATCACAAGTACTCTAAAAACACACAACAAGTCAACAATAACTTGAAGAAAGGAAGAAATGGAAAAATTTACAAGAAGCCTTTCGAGAAGCCTTTCAAGAAGTGTTTCTACTTCTGGTGATGCAAATAGAATGTGGAGGAGAACAACACAAAGAGGGTTTGATGGTGGGAGGAGCGTAAGAACTGTCCGTCTTGGAGAAGACAACCATGGCAGGTTTTCGAAGATCAAGAAAATGTTTAACTTCATTAATGGCTCTAAGAAAAGTGGGATAGAAGCTTCAAAATCTCGTCGATCATCCAAGATTGCTAGTTCCAACGATGAGTTCCAAAACAGATTACTTGTTGAAATTTACAAGAATATGTCGTCAGTTCATGAACTACGTTGAAATGTTTAGAAGTTAGACTCTAAGATTTCGTGTTTTCTTTTCAATTGATTTATTTAAATTCTTTGGTACCCAAAAAATTCTTATTATTGAAGTATATATTCATACTTCACATTATTGTCCAGCCTTCCATTTGGGTATGATGCAATCAATGAACAAGCTGCAAATATAAGTTAATAGTATTTTGTTATGGATATGTAATAGATATTATTATAGTTACCGTTTACCGTTTTATAGTATTAGAGTTGCAATCCGATTATGATTTCCTTGTAGATAATACTTTCTTTTTACAATGAACACTTGATATGTATTTAAGGTTATTCGAGATTCCGATAGTGTCATGAGTTCATTGTATCAGAAGTCAAAAGATTCTACCTAGCTACCTCTTTCTCTCTCAAAAGTCGACGCCATAAATAGCCATCATTTCGTTCCTTGTTTGTCCATGTAAGGTCGACCAACTCAATCTTTATTTCTCTCCAAGGCCCATCACCACCTTCCACCACTACAAAGAAAATCTCATTCAGTGCATTTGTTTTTAATATCAGATGTTTAATGTGTCATTATATCTTAGTTTTAGTGGCATATTTTATATTCTATGTGTCATTATAAAAATTAATGGATATAATGACATTTAACATTTTATGTCACTAATATTTATAATTATTGTTTTAATATGACACTAAAAAGTTCTATTTTATTAAAAATATTGTATAGTATAATTATTATAATAATTAGAATAAATTACAAAATAATCCTTAATTTTGATCGAAATTAGAACTTTTGTCAAACTTTTGAATGTTTCTTATAATTGTCCGTGAATTTGATTCATATTTCTTATATGGTTCCTTTATAAACACCGGTATTTTGTTATACCCTTTCATGTGTTAAGCACATGATGGTGTTTTTGGTGTTTTTCTCCCCTCTCACTTATTACCAAAAAAATGCTTTTTTAACTTTAATTATAAAATATATCCCTAATTAATGTCTATACCAATTTGCTTTATAATCTCTTAAAATAAAAGATAATATGTACATATAAACCTTTTTCAAATATACTTTTACCATTTCTTCTATTTGACATGGTTTATCGTTGATCCGTAAAAGGCAGTTATAAGGGTCATCGTTGGGTATAGCTTGAACAACATGATAGAAATATGTAGTCAAGATGATATTCGTTTCACTTATTCGTTAAGAGTTAGACATCTAAGGCCTTACCAAAAAGTTGAACACTACATGAGATTGATCACGATCTATATCTCATGTTCAACATGATGATCGAGACAAAGAAATAACTGATACCACACTTTATAACCAAGTCTGGATCTAGAGCAAATGGATATTGGTCATTCGTTGGATGATAACTCTTCGTGTGTAGTTGGAGGCATTGGTGTCTTGTTAGACATCAAACGTCAATCAATGTCTATGTCAATCTATAATAAATCTCGTGCAAATGGGAAATGGTTGAATCTATATGCTCAAGAATCATTTTAGAATGATGATGTAACTACGTGAATTTTGAAAACAAAATTTTAATTTCTTAAACATGTTTTCATCCAAATCAAGTCATAAAAATCCAATGCATCATATCATAATACAAAACATATAAATCCCAAGATCATAAAATAAATCCTCCGCTAGTGTGTACAGATCACGCCGACGCCTTCCCACAGTCCTCGCTAGTACCTGAAACACATAACACAACAACTGTAAGCATAAATGCTTAGTGAGTTCCCCAAAATACTACTTACACACATACGCCCTTCCAGGCCATGACCTTTCGGTCCATGTGTCTCAGGGGACTTCCGTCCCGACCCGGTAAGCCTTCCGGTCCTACCCATGTCGACCTTCCGGTCCACATCACAATGCCTTCCGACCCATAACATAATGTCTTCCGGCCCATATCAAGCATAGCATACATATCACATACAAACGGTTAACTTATTCATATACAATGCATACAACTTATAATATATCCGACCTTTCGGTCACACATAAATACCCTTCCGGGTACAATATAGTAAGAAGACTCACCTCGTAGGAAGTCTAGAATCTCACGTGCTTGCTATCTCTGAATCTCGAAACGAAGACCCAACCCCGCCTAATCATAACGAAATATCATTCTAATTAATATAGGCTTCTAAGATTAGGCTTCACCCTTTTCATTATCCCACAGAGGGGTAAAAGACCATTTCACCCCTCCTTGACTCAAAGTCCACATGTTGACCAAAACCCTAAAAGTCAACAAAAGTCAACAGACCACAGTACGCGGGGTGTACATCGATGAACCACAATCGGGGGTCTCAACCCCTTACGTTGCGCCTACTGGGAGTTACGCCCAACGTAATTCCCAGATTCAGCTGTACCATATTTTTGTCTTAAATGGTTAAGATACTTCTTCAACTTCTAGATCCAGCTCTCTTTAAGTCTCCTAACCCATAAAGTCGGAACTTTTAAGCCTTGGCATGTCTGTAAAGGCTCCTACACTCTCTAATACCTTTCTTTTCAACTCTAAAGATCTAGATCTCATGCATGGCTAATTATTTACATCCAAGATTACATTTTTATGAACATAAAACTCAAATAGACCTGGAATATGATAGATCTAAGCCAATGGAGACTACTTGCTCAAAAAGTCTCCATCTTTGGGACCAAAAACCTAGAAATTGGTCCAAGAAGCATACCATAAGAACTACAAGGCAAGATCTAAACTTTTTACCTCAGGAAGAAGCTCCAAACTTTGTTATCCACGGATCTACACTTGTACACGAACTTCTAGCCTCCACAATGGACTCCTCTTCTCTTTTGCTACCTTGAAATAACACCTTAAAGCTTAGAACAATCACACCCAAGCTATGAATGAAGGAATAACTCTCTTAGGGTTTCTTTCTGAAGGATGGTGACTGAGGAACCAAGCTATCTCATTCCTTTTATAGCCAACAACTCAAATTAGGGTTTTAGGTCTGGACTGGTTACGCCCGGCGTAACCTTGGGTACGCCCAGCTTACCCGGGTGATAACACGTTCAATAAGGCACGCGAGTACGCACAACGTACTCCTTGTATGCCCAACGTACTCGCCCAACACAAAGGCCAAAAATGACAAATAATTAAAAGATGATGGCTAATTGGTTGTACTTGAATTTCGGGCTGTTACAATTCTCCCCAACTAGAACTAGACTTCGTCCTCGAAGTCTTATACCGAAAACAGTTCTGGATACTACTCCCGCATCTCCGACTCGGATTCCCACGTCAGCTCGGACCCCTTCCGATGTTGCCACTGCACTGGCACCAAGGGCACTTTCTTGTTCCTCAGAACCTTAACCTCTCAATCCCTAATTGCCACCGGTCTCTCAACATAGTTCAAGCCTGAATCCACCTGAATATCCTCTAATGGTACTACTGCCGACGAGTCGGCAATACATTTCCTCAACTGCGACACATGAAAGGTGTCGTGAATCTGACCCAGCTCCGTAGGTAGATCCAAACGGTATGCTACCCTGCCTACTCTCGCGATTACCCTGAAAGGTCCAATATATCGAGGCCCCAACTTACCCATCTTCCTAAATCGAATCACTCCTTTCCAAGGAGAGACCTTTAAGAGTACAAGGTCACCAACCTGAAACTCGAGCTCGAACCGACGCCTGTCCGCATAACTCTTCTGGCGACTCTGAGCGGTCAACAATCTATGCCTGACCTGCTGTATCTGCTCTGTCGTCTGAAGCACAATCTCCGTACTACCTATTACCCGTTGCCCCACCTCTCCCCAGCAGATGGGGGTCCGACACCTCCTCCCATACAACAGCTCAAAGGGTGGCATACCAATGCTCAAATGATGGCTGTTATTGTACGAAAACTCTGCCAAGGGTAAATAGGTGTCCCAACTCCCTCCAAAATTCAAAACACACGCTCGGAGCATATCCTCGAGCGTCTAAATCGTCCGCTCACTCTGCCCGCCCGTCTGTATGTGGTATGCGGTACTGAAATGCAGTTTCGTTCCCAACTCCTCGTGAAACTTCTTCAAAAATCTAGAAGTAAATCGTACGTCTCGATCTGAATCAATCGACATCGGAACCCCGTGCCGCGATACCACCTCCCTCACATACAACTCTGCCAACCTCTCAGCCGAAGAGCTCTCACCGATAGCAAGAAAATGAGCGCTCTTCGTCAACCTATCTACAGTCACCCAAATTGCATCGACTCCTCTCATAGTCCTTGGCAATTTGGTGATAAAATCCATGGTAATCTGTTCCCACTTCCACTCGGGAATCTCCAGCAGCTGCAGCTTACCATGCGGACGCTGGTGCTCGGCCTTAACCTGGCGACTAGCTAGGCACCTCTCGACGAACCATGAAACATCCCTCTTCATACAAGGCCACCAATACTCCTTCTTTAGGTCCAAATACATCTTACTGGCTCCGGGATGGATCGAGAACTTCGATCGATGTGCTTCTTCCATGAAAATGGTACGCGTCTCGCTCACAAACGGTACCCAAATCCAACCCTGAAATGTCATAAATCCTCGACTATCGGTAACGAATTCCGATACCTACCCGACAACTCGCTCCCTCTTTCAGTTTTCTGGTCTCGCAGCCTCAGCCTGGGCCCCTCGAATGTTGTCTAATACCGGAGTCATCACCATCAACCTCATACAAATGTCTCGGATCGGGGCACTCTCCGTCCTACGGCTCAAAGAATCGGCTACGACATTACCCTTGCCCGGATGGTACAGGATCTCACAATCATAATCCTTCACCACATCCAACCATCTCCTCTGGCGCATATTCAGGTTTGGATGATCCATCAAGTACTTCAGAATCTTGTGGTCCGTGTATATGGTACACCGAACCCCATATAGATAGTCCCGCCAAATCTTGAGGGCAAACACCACAGCCCCTAGCTCCAGATGGTGGGTGGGGTATCTGGACTCATGAGGCTTCAGCTGCCTCGATGCATACGCTATAACGTGCCCCCTCTGCATAAGCACTGCCCCTAACCCAGATATTGA